ATCTTGAAGGTTTTTAGCGCTAAAATATACGGGGGGGGGGTTAGGACATTTTTAATGTACATTTGTATTTTAATTATTTATGGATTTTAGTCACTGTTGGAGGGATCGGTGTGTTTGTTCTTTTTGTTATTGGGAGCTGCCCAGAGTCACCCGTTGGGGGAGATGGGCGGCATACAAGTTTAATAATAAATAAAAAAATAAAAAAAATAAAAAATAGAAAGACTCCGAAATACCCACAATGGAGGAATGGCTGGTGAAGATGACAGAATTAGCTGAGATGGCAAAATTGACTTGTCTGATTAGAAAAAGGACAATAACTACATTTATTAGTGACTGGAAACCCCTTTTGGACTTTTTGCTGAAAAAAGAAAAAAAATGAACTTGTGATTTATGGGTTTGATGATTAGAAAGGGTAGACTGTGGAAAGAAGGAAATTATATTGTAACCTTAGAGAGAGAAGGTAAAATATAAATGCACTTATAATTACTGTTAAGAAGACCAGAAGCCGCTTCTTCATAGCTTTTTCTTTGCTTTTTGCTTTCTTTGTTATTTCTTTCTTTGTACTTTTTTCACTTATTTTTGTGTACTTTCTTTACTTTTTCCTTTTAGAATTGATATTGTTTTTATTCTCTTAAAATTTCTTTCATAAAAGTTATATACGTATTTTTAAAAACCATAACTCTCAGAGGCTGCTCTGAAAGTGGTGGATAATTTCAGTTGTACTTGATTGCTCACTGTCAGTTACAGAAGAATCTCTTACAACTTTCCGAACTCTGGGGCTCGAACGTCACATTAGGGAAGATGGCCCAGATCAGTACGATCTATCCAATCCCACAGAAAGATGTAGAACATCTCATCTGCCTCTTTTACAATATTCTCAGGGAATCTAAGATGACCCCTCTAATTTTAAAAGCAAGCTATTTTAGGGGAAAAAATTAGCCTTCCTTTCAGGTCAATACAGTCACGATAATGGCATTCTTTCCCCCTAAATTATAACGCTGAAATGAAGAATGACCTGGGGGAAACCAGGCGTGGGATTTTGTGCACAAGCATCAGACCTTCAGCTTTAAGCTGACACAACAGTACCTTGATTGTGTACTCAGATCCACCTTGTATTTTAATGCAACGTCTTCCTCATTATCACCATCAGCTACTGTTCTGGATCTGATGCTCTGGGGCTCCTGTTATTTCAAAAGCAGGTGCCAGATGCTTGATACCTGCTTCCCTCTGCCTTAGAAACAGTGGACAAATCTGAACAATGGACTCGACTCACTCTAGCCAAGAACGTGAGCTTCCTAGTATGGCTGAATCTCCAAGTGTGCCTCCTGATATCTGCCCTGTGGAGTCCTTGATCCTCTCTCAGCTTGGTGGTTTCCTTGCAGACATTTCATTACCCAACTAGGTAACCTCATCAGTGCATGTGTGTGCAGTGCATGATCAGGGCAGTGCATGATCAGGGCAAGCGCTGATGAGGATACCTAGTCGGGTAATGAAATGTCTGCAAGGAAACCACCAAGCTCAAAGAGCACCAAGGACTCCACAGTTCAACCCTGAGCAACTATATTCTCTTCTACTGAAATTGCATTGTGACCGTACTCACACGGAGAGTTTGCACTTCTGGAAGATCGGTGTAGCAGCAAAGGAGGATATTGTTGGTCATACTGAAGCTCTCACGTACTCCCAGGTGATAGAAAAGGGAAGGCTGGCATAGGCTGTGACTCATCTCCACAACCACCACATCTGCAGAGATAGAAAGGGCAGACAGAAGTCATCAACCACAGAGCACCAGCTCCTCGACTTTTCCACACCTGCCCTCACCTGGTAGCCGGCCAAGGGCTGGTAACTGAGGCCACGGGCCATTTGTCTTGAGCAGCAAAAGTGCCACCTCTCGCACAGAGAAGAAAGCACTCTGATCAGGGACACAATGTTCCACAAAAACTTAAGAATCCCCAATGATCGTAACGTCCTTAAGACCAGACCCTGCTGCTAGTTCACTGTCCACCAAGACCCTTGAGGTTTTGTGCAGCTTTGCAACCAGCAACCAAACCCACCCACGCAAGTCATCAGAAGGTTAGAGATCCTTCTTGGAGAGAAGGCGAGAGGAGCCGATTGTCCCAAGGACAATGAGCAAAACACGAAGCTCAACACTAAAAGCCACACTGTGTGCTTTGCAGGCAGAATTTCCCAGGATATCCTTGGAGGAACTGAGAGGGAATCCAGGCTGAAATCTTGCAAAACTGCTGCTGCTCAGTCGAAACAATACTGAGACAGAGGAACTAACAGCCCTAGGGCAGTTTATACTGATTAGTTACTAACTTGCAAACTTTTTTCTTGTTCCTTTTTAAGTGCATGTACAATTATTGACAGGAATTGTTTTTAACATTCTTGTTCTTGAAAATTGCTGCTACGCTTGTCTAGTAGATAAGCAGATGTGTGTGTGTGTGTGTAAATATAGGCATTTGCATGGGGAGATGACTGCGATTATCTTTAAAAGGAGGACTTGTAAAACAACCCCCCCCCCCGCCACACACACAAAATGTTGTTCCAGCACCCATTTTCTCTTTCTAACAGGAATCATCCTGTTTAAAGTTCTGGCCAGTTTGTTAGGCCCTTTTGCTATGGCAATCTGACTTACTTTATATAGGAAACCCCTTTTTGAAAAGTTGCCCAGTTCAATTTAAAGATTAAAGATGCACGAGGAGGAGACTTACAATCAGACGCTGCTCAACAACCTGATGGTAATCTTTCCCAGTATTGTAAGTAGGGTCTACTGCATTGTTTTTTTTAATCACAGCAATTATTTTACCTATAGGAATTACCATGTGTATATTTTATCTATATCCATGACCACTTTTTCCTCTTTTAGAGGGGTGCACCAAGGGTCACCTAATCCTGGGCTGTGTTTCTTCTTGAATTCTTCTGAGATGACAACTCTAGATTTGGATGAAGGTCAAGAAGGTCAATCCTGTTTCCTTTTCCTCTCAGAGATCAGGCTTCTAGAGACTGAAGGAGGAGGCTGAAATCTGAAGATGGCCAAACTCACTCTGGGGTCACCGACAAAGATTGAAAAATGTTATTTCCAAATGACAACAGGTGAAGAGTGACTGGTCAGAATAGACTGCAAGAAAAGGAAGATTGTCCCTATTCAGGGTTACCTCTAGTCTGGAAGGGGCTCCAGGCAAATAATGCTCCAGAGCAGTGTTTCTCAACTTTGGCAGTTTGAAGTTGTATGGACTTCAACTCCCAGAATTCCCCAGCCAGTATGCTGTCTGGAGAATTCTGGGAGTTGAAGTCCCTACATCTTCAAACTGCCAAGGTTGAGAAACACTGCTCTAAGACAGCTTCCTCTTTCTTCAATGGCCACATTAGCACATTTAGCAAGAATGCACTAGCAATGCTCCAAATACATTCACTAAGCTGTCAGGTACATTTCCCACAATGCTCAGAGCAAGGCTATATCAGATACACTGCAGGAAATGAACCTGTAGGGAAGTCCAGTGAAGTCATAAAGGTTGGTGCGCCTGGAAGGCAAACCGTAATTAAAGGAGGCATTCCAAGGAAGGTGTGTGTGAAGTTGGATGTTGATTCTCTTGGACACATTGCATGAAGTGTGGCAGTTTGACAAGTGGTTCTCCAAGTTTTAACTTACTCAGCTTGCCAGGCATGAATCGATGAAGGATATGTTCACTCTCATATCCTTTGTGGCTGCTCTGGTAATTACATTGCTTCTGACCTGGCCCCAGCACAAACTTCATTCATTTCCATGAGTTCCTCTTTCTACACTGGACTCCTTTTGCCTTCTTGAGAAGCTCCATTTCACACTTCCCTGCAAGGCACACTGTAGAATATCAAATCTGACGCGGAGGATTCAGGCACTCAAATGTTACCAAGGGCTGAGAAGTATTAATGGTGTTTATGATATGGGTAGATTAAAACCTTTGGGATGTCTACTTGCTGATGTTGCCATGCAGGAAAAGAAAATCCAAGGTTGTGAAGCCAAAAATTATAGTTGCAATATGGAATGTAAGAAGCGTGAACTTGGAAAACTCGAATAGAGAAAGAGAAAACGAATCAACTGCACATTGACATCTTAGTGAATTGAAATGGACTGGAATTGAATGGTTTCAGTCCAAAGATTTTACTGTTTGCTACTCAGGACACGAAAAAGACTTTGCTTTCATAGTTAGGAAGGATATAACAAGAAAGGTATTTGGATGCAATTCAGCCAGTGACTGAATAATATCAATTAAACTTTGTGGACAACCCGTTAATATGATGAGTATCCAGGTTTATACTCCAAGCAGTGAGTTTTATGGTCAAGTTCGATCTGAAATTGACAGAACTTGCAAGCTACATCTGATGCTTGTGGTTGGAGGCTGGAATGCCAAAGTTGAAAATATTAAGTAGGAAAATGTAGTTGGCCTAGATCAGTGTTTTTTGAACTTGGCAACTTTAAAACGTATGGACTTCAACTCCCAGAATTCCGTAGCCAGCATGCTGGCTAGGGAATTCTGGGAGTGGAAGTCCACACATCTTAAAGTTGCCAAGGTTGAAAAACATTGGTTTGGATGGTGTAGGAAACAGAAATGAAGCAGGAGAACCACTTATCTAACCAAATAATGGCAACAAATTTGGAGAATGACACACTGGACAACAGATTGGAAGAGGTCGGTCTATCTACCAATTCCAAAAAAAAGAAGACTTAGCAGAGTGTGTAAAGTACTGCACAATATCCTTAATTTCATGTGCTAGCAAAATAACACTCAGGATCATACAATGCAGATTAGAACCTTATATGGGAAAGGGAAATAGCAGATGTTCAAGCTGGCGTTAGAAAAGCTGGCCTCTAACCATGTTCCATATACACTATTACTATTTCCTCTGCATCTGCTAAAAACAGAAGGCTTCAGAGAGGCACCAGCTCAGGGGAAAAGTACCTGCTTTGCACGTTGAAGGTTCCAAGATGAAGTCCTGCCATTTCCAATTTAAATTAAAATTAAAATTTAATTAAAATTAAAATTAAAATTAAGGCAATAGGTATTGTGAAATAGCTCTTTGCCCCTGAACTCGAAAACCCATTGAATGAGATGCACTAACAGCATTCAATGGCTTGTTTTCTACATGATATTCACTCA